GATTGATGGTACCTCGCACATACCGCGGTATCTGTTTCACTGTTGCCATGTGAGCTATAGTTGGAGATTCTATGTATCTACTCACCACCCCAACAGTGTATGCATGATCTGGCCTGATATTTACCAAGTACCGTAGACTCCCGATGACACTTTTGTACATGAAATTGTCAACTGGAGGGCTCGCATCCGTCTTGCTCAGCTTCATTCTCAGCTCTATGGGGACTTGGCAATGATTGCAATTTGCCAACTTCAGGCTTTCTAGAATCTTCATAGCATATCCCGACTGACTTATCGTTATTGCATTCGGATCCTGCCTCACATCAATTCCAAGATAGTAACTCAAGAGCCCAAGATTACTCATCTCAAACAATCTCTTCATTTGCTCCTTGAAAAACACAATGTCATTGACATCTGATCCGGTGATGATGAGATCACCTACGTAAACCCCCACAATTTGAACTGCATTACCTTGCTGCTTCTTGTACACTGCATGCTCGAGAGGGCACCTTTCAAAACCGAGTGATTGAAGGCATTTGTCGAGCTTTGAATTCCAAGCGCGAGGAGCCTGTCGCAGCCCGTACAATGCTTTCTTCAACCTGCATTTGTCGAGCTTTGAATTCCAAGCGCGAGGAGCCTGTCGCAGCCCGTACAATGCTTTCTTCAACCTTAATACTTTTTCTTCTTGGCCTTCTTCTACAAACCCCTATGGTTGTGCCACATAGACCTCCTCCTCTAGCTCTCCATTTAGGAAGGTGGACTTGACGTCCATGTGATGTACCTCCCAGTCTTCTTGTGCTGCTAAAGCGATCAACATCCTCATGGTCTCGAGCCTTGCGACTGGAGCGACCACTTCGTTGAAATCCACACCTTGCCTTTGCACATACCCCTTTGCCACGAGTCGAGCTTTGTACTTGACCACATCACCTTCCGGATTCTTCTTGACTTTATACACCCATTTCAGACTGATTGGCCGATGACCTTTCGGAAGATCAGCAAGTTCCTAGGTGTGATTCCTTTGTATGGCCACAATTTCATTTGTCATAGCTTTCTTCCAGCAGTCACTGTCCTTAGCTTCTTCAAAAGTTGTCGGCTCCTCGACAGAAAGGAAACACAGTGCTGCTTCACCTTCCACCTCTCGGGTCTCATCATATATTTCCTGCAAGCTGTGGTATCTCAAAGGTCTTTCAGAACTTGCTAAGGATTCAGAAGTACCATCGTGTGCAACGGTGTTGTTGTCAGTTCTTGGTGTACTTGCTGGCGCAACTGTCTCGTTGTTGCTTCCTGGAGTTCCACCAATACCCGAGCTGACCAAGGGGGCTCGATTTCTCGGCTCTTGCTCAGCTTCTGCTTGCGCTGATTTATAATGCACTGTAAACACCTCATTTGAGTTGTACATCTTGTGACTTTGTGTAGTGGACGACTCCCAGTTCCATTCTCTATCTTCATCAAAAATTATGTCCCTGCTCATGTGTAGCTTCTTCTGGTCTGGATCATACACACGGTACGCCTTCGATCCAGGTTCGTAGCCGAAGAAAACCATCGGTACACTCCTATCTGACAGCTTCTTCAAATGTGGGCTCACTGTTTTGACATGTGCTAAGCAACCAAACACTCGCAAATGTTGGACATTCGGCTTTCTTCCCGTCCATGCTTGATATAGTGTCATTCCCTCCAGACTTTGGGTCAGCGCTCGATTAAGCAAATATACAGCAGTCCTCACAGCTTCTCCCCAGTAGACCGCCGGTGCTCTTCAATAGGCTTCTTGCCATGCCCAACACCGTTTGGTTTCTCCTTTCGACCACACCGTTCTGTTGAGGAGAGTACGGCACAGTCAGATATCGTTTGATTCCTAACTCTTCACAGTAAGAAGTGAATTCATTTGAGGTAAATTCACCTCCCCGATCTATTCGAAATGCCTTCAGTTTGTTCTCAGTTTCTGCCTCAACACTTGCTTTGAACTTCTTGAAAGCATCAAATGCCTCGCTCTTGCTTTTTAGCATTACTACCCACATGTATCTACTATGATCGTCCATGAGTAGCATAAAATATTCGTTGCCAGCCGGCGTAGCGGGTGTGATCGGGCCACAGAGGTCGCCATGCACGAGTCCAAGCGGTTTGTTGGCTCAAAAACTTAAGCTGTGAGGGAAGGGAGTTCTGTGGTGTTTGCCAATGATGTAACCATCACAGATCTGTGTCACGTGTTTTACGACAGGCATGCCGATCACCATCTCCTTCAGGGCCAACTTCCTCAGGGTTGGAAAGTTCAAGTGCCCATACCGAGCGTGTCAGCGCCATGCATCATCTCCTATGCTTCTCATCAAGCACACTGGATGAGCCACCTTGAGGTTGAGCACGTACAACCTATTCTTGGACTTCTTCACGTTGGCCAATAGCTTGCTGCTCCTGTCATAGATGTGCAGATGGCCTCCCTCCATTACTATCTTGCACCCATTTTCGTCCAGTTGCCCAAGGCTCATGATATTGCTGCATAGCTTTGGTATATAATACACATTTGTTAGAAGTCTATGCTCACCATTTTGGCATTGAAGTATGACAGTTCCTCTCCCTTGTATCTCCACGACCGAGCCATCGCCGAATTTGACTCTGCCACACATCTTCTCATCGAGGTCTGAAAATTTCTTTTTTACAACCAGTCATATGGTTGCTAGCACCAGTATCCAGGTACCAAATGTCGGTCTCGAAGACCACTTCTTCACTGCTCAGACTCGGCTTCACATTTTCTTCGTGAAACATCATCTTTTCTCCCTCTTCTTGAGTCGTGTACAGGGACCCGCACACCTCGATCAGAAGCAATGCAGGTTCATCGTCGTGTTGCTTTTCAACAAAATGGGCTCTCTCCTCTTTCTTCGGCTTTCGGCATTCAGATGCGTAGTGACCATGGTTCTGACAGTTGTAGCAGGGAACGTTCACCTTGTCGAACTTGTGATACTTCTTGCCAGAGTCGTTGGATCGCTCCTCATCGTCGAGCCCCCTCCGGCCACGGCCCCGCGGCCACGACCACGCCGCGCCACCGACCACTTGCTCGTCTCGTTCTTTCCAGCCACTACCGAAGCCCTCTCCTCCTTTTTTCTTTGTCTTGGCCTCCCATTCGGCCCGGATCAGCAGCGAGTATTCACTCTCTTTGTCGTCAAAACCTCGCAGCCGCTCCTCATGTGCTTTGAGCCGGCCAAACACCTCCTCGGCCGTCATCTCACTCAAGTCACCGAACTGCTCCAACGTGGATGCGATTTGCAGGAACTTCGGTGTCACCGCTCGCAACACCTTCTCCACCACAGCAATGTCATCCATCTTCTCCCCCATGGCGCGCATTTTGCTGACCACTGTGTTCAGCCGCACAGCGAACTCATCGATGGACTCCCCTTCTCGCATACGGAGAGCCTCGAACTCTGTCTTGAGGGTCTGCAGTTTTGCCCTCGTCACACGATCGACCCCCATGTACATGGACTTCAACGCAGCCCACGCATCTTTGGCCATCGTCTTCTCGGCGAGGAGAAGGAGGATCTCCTCATTCACCCCTTGGTAGATGGCCGCGAGTGCTATCTTGTCGCACCGGTTGTCGACACTACCCTCGGCCTCGACGGCGTCCCACACGCCCTGAGCCTGCATATAGACCTTCATTTTGATGGACCACGCCGGGTAGTTGTTGCTCGTTAGCATTGGGTATTTGAGTGTAATACTCTCCTCTCTTCCCTCCTTCTCTGTCATATCTCCGCCGGTGACATGACTCGACGATGATGGAGATTCCAATCTTGCCATGATCTTAGGCATTCACACACCGCGGCTCTGATACCAAATGTAGAAAATTGGGTTGCAGGGACTCAAAGCTCTTCACTGCAGATTGCAGGAACTCAAAGTTTTTCACTGCTAATTGAAAGATAAAACAGAGGACTCTTCACTGCAGATGGAAAAACAAAACAGAATAGAATATAGTAGAGGAAGTGGGAGGACACTCTTTTTTTTTATTAAAGAATGAGAGATTAGCTGGATGCTTTTGATCACAATAGAGCTCAGCAATTTATAAAAGAGAGAAACCACAACGTGGTGAAACTAACAACCCCCCACGTTCAACTCTGTTGAAGCTAACAACCCCACTAGACTAGGTCCTCCTCTAACAAACTAACAAACTCACACCTGTTGAAGCTAACACCCCACTAGACTAGGTCCTTTTCTAACAAACTAACAAACTCACACCAATCAAACTACAGACTCGATCCTCTCTCTAACAAATTAACAAGCTCACACACACGTGCAACAAGTTTAACTCAACAGGATCCTCGATCGCCGATCGGGGCAGACGCAGATGAGACGGCCGTTGGTGTGCCGGGCAGCTATGGCGAGGGCTAGCGCAGAAGGAGATACACCGTGGGAGGTGATGTCGACCATGAGTCGAGATTGGTTGCCTGTGGCGAGGGCTGATATGAACTCCACGCACTCGGGTTCGATGAGCTTATTAGTACCGTCGTTGGCGTTGGAGTCGGTTTGATCATCGCTATAGTCCTTGCACTGGATGAGATCAAAGAGGGGAATTATAAAATCACGGAATGAAAAGTATGAACTATAATTAAAAAAACGAAAAATTAACTAATAAATACCGCCTACATGCAACTCTATATATATAGAAGGGCATGCATACCAGTTGAAGAGTATGAACATAGGCCTTCATCGCATTCAAAGGTGACCAGCAACCCATTTTGGTAATTATTTTGCTCTTCAAACAATTAATTGAACTTTTAGCTATTTCGGATGAAGCAACACGAGAGAGGGATGAATTTGTGCAAGAAGAGTTATGTATGAATGCCTAATTTATACAAGGAGCTCCACCTCTCCAAGATGCATGCATTTCACTTCTGTTCGCTTTGAATTACGAACTCATTAAAGTTCATAAAGTAGGGGAAAAAATTGAGAAGTAAGCACCTAAAATTTGGACGCATGCTACAACTTGGCACGTACGTAGCATGCAGTAATCTATCTATCTATCTACCCTTTAAAAGAGCCAGTTCCTGAAAAACTTTCCCCTTCCCAAATTAACCTTCAACCAATTTAAATATACCCAATTTCTCCCAGCGATACAGAAAATTCGTCATCAGCATCCCACCTCGGTTACGTCTTCCTCTCCGCCGAAGCCGAAGAGTTCATCCTTTTACCTTCTCCGACGAAGCCTAAGGAGTTTGCAATGATGAGTATTATTCATCGGTTACCCTTCTCCGCCGAAGCCGAAGCGTTACAGATATTTCCAAAGCTCAGTATTTCTTCAGAATTTCCGCATTCATGTTCACAATTTTCAGAATTAGGCTATTCAGAAAGGTATTTCACCCTATCCCCTTTTAGTTCTTCATTCCTTAAATTTTGTTAGTTCTCCATTCCTTTAATTTTGTTATAATGTTATAATTTTGCCCTAATTTTCGAATTCCTACAGTTTCAAGCGACAAGGGAGCAACTGTATTGGTTGTTATTTCTTTCCTAAATTAGGTATTTCTTGTTATATAGCTGCATTTCATTCAAATTTTACTTAAGTTATAGTTACAATACGCTCATTTTTTGGTTTACAGTCTTTAATTTACAATAGATGCAGTTTGTCTCATGTTAAAAGGGTGTTAAATCAAGTTTATTTGCTTGTAACCTGTTTTTAATTTTTAATTATTGATCATATGTAAAGTGGACATGTGCATATCAATTGTCAATATAATTTTTAATTATTGATCATATGTAAAGTGGACATGTGCATATCAATTGTCAATAATCATGGTTTTGTAATAAACTTGATTTGGTTTGGAATCGGAGACATGTGCATATCAATTGTCAATAATCATGGTTTTGTAATAAACTTGATTTGGTTTGGAATCGGATAGGTTGAATCATGATTTGCAAACTTTTGAATCTGCTGTTTTCTTTCAGTATTCAAGCTAAATGTGAGCAATTAAGTTAACCTCTATAATTTACAAGGTCTATAACACTTCCTGGGCAATTGTAGGTTAGTGGCATGAAAAGCACCAAGGTCTGACTTTTATAAGGGTAAAGTTTCATTTACCCCTACAGTTTCATTTACCCCTGCACCGGTCTTCGGTTGAATACCCAATATGTAGAATTTCCTTTATGTTAATTTCTTTGCTGCTATTAGCAGTAAACGCTTGCTATCCAACTATGGAAATAGCAATTTTGAATTGTAGTTGCATTGCCATTTTCTTGAATTAAGATGTATTATCTTTGTTGACACTGATATCAAATGAGAATTGAGGGGACCCAACCCCAAATGATTATGGATACATTTGCCTGGATATTATAGTATAGTAGCATATCTCTGTGTTCCTTTTTTGTATACTTGAATGGTATAAGCCCTTGCTATTCTATCCTCAAAAAAGTTGTTCTCCTTCATTGATTGTTGTATCTAGCTAGCACTGTTGGTTATTAGCTCTCTAGAAATTTGTCTTTGCAGGCATAAGTTGCTTGAAGGTCGGTTTACCGTTCTGCTATGAAAGAGCATTTTAAACTGCATTGTTCAGATGAATAGCAACCACCAGGTTGCTACTTAGTTTTTGGATTATATTTTTCAAGTTGAATCGTGTTTCCATCAGTTTATGTCTGCTTTGGCAAAATTGTTTCAGAATGGAAAATGTTATTTGGAATTTTTTGTGAAAGAATCAAGTAGGATTCTGGAACTCGCCTACTCAATAAAATTCCTAGATCTTATAAGTCACTTAAGGAAATGAATACTCTCCTGCTTCAGTCCAGGTTTATGTCATTGAAGAGGTTTACAGTCAAGGAAAGAGTTTGTACATTTTTGTTGTCCATCTAGGATGTACATTTTTGTGTGCCATCTCTCATCATATTTGTTGATCATTCGCTTTCATGGAGCTTTCTTTCCTTAAGTAAAAGGGCACTCTTGCAGTACGTATTGTTGATTGCAGGATCCCGAAAGGTTAGGTAAATCTTGTCGATGCCTTGCAGAGATGTTGTATAACCTTTGCTTTCCAGTTCAAATTAAGAAACCTTATGTTAATGCTTACAGTATTTAATAAATACCAATATTTAATTTTTTTTTATTTGATGAAAAGTTATATCTAATTAGGAACAAAGTTGTCTTTTGAATTTTGTTCTTTCATATCTTCTTCATTGCTCTGCATGTCGTGGGGTGCATATTAACAATATCTATTCAAATTCAGGTTTGTGTGACATGAACGTAGTTTTTCTTATATTTAAACATCTCATGATGAGCATGCTGTTATGGCTGAAATATAGTTGCAAGTTGCTTGAGTATTTTTCTTTTTCTTGCTATAACAGGCGAGGCTGGCAAACAATTTAAAAAAAATATAACACTAATGTGGAAAGGGGAGTTCCGGTTTGTAAGAACCTGTAGTGTTTGTTTCTCTGCCATTTGTATATTTGCTTGAAGTTCAGTGGCAACATAACCATGGGCACCAAGAATCATTCACATCCAAACTTTTTCTATTTGATAATGAACAACTTCTGAGAGGAGAGAACAGCCACAAACAATGAGTATACACATGACACTTTCTTCTATGTCTACCTTTTGATTGACGACAAACACAGGCACTCAAACATAGAGAAGTAAAATGCATGTATGTGGTTCAACGAGAGAGTTTTCATTGTTCAGTATCTAAAAGGAGCATGACCCGTGTGATAGTTTGTTGTTAAGCAGGATCTGTCTGTGCGTAAGACCTTTTTTCATGTTTCATTTGAAACACCTATCAATGTGTGTGTATTGACGGCAGCATAATGACTCCTTGCAGACAACAAAGCAGTGATACATACAAGTTACATTGGACAAGGTTTGAGACCTTCACCCCTAAGAGAATGATGTAACGAGTGATATTAAATAGATGAAGAAAAGAAGTGGCAAAGGATGACCCCACTAATTCATGCCATAGGTGAAGAGACAATTTCATTTGCATGAGAAGTAGAATTGGTTGTTTTATATGAAGATTGTGCAATACAATGAAAGGAATAAGTAGATCAATTTCAGGAAGAAATCTTCTACTAACAAGGATTAGGCTAATTAATGGACGACACCTTTGGAGATAGATCAATTTCAGGAAGAAATCTTCTACTAACAAGGATTAGGCTAATTAATGGACGACACCTTTGGAGAATTTGAGATAAATTAAAAAAATCTTCTACTAACAAGGATTAGGCTAATTAATGGACGACACCTTTGGAGAATTTGAGATAAATTAAAAAACTTTATCTCATTGAAAGATGAATAATTATTAGGCTAAATAATTACATCGCCGTTTCTATGATTTGGTTTGGAATCGGAGAGGAGAAAGATTTGGGTTGTCTCTGATTTGGTTTTGGAATCGGAGAATCACAAATGATAGAGTTGAGTTATTTTATTTTTCAGATTGTGATTTCGGTTGTGATTTCTTTCCTACAATCAAATGTTCTCGTCTTGGTGTAATCAAAAATTCTTCAAAGTTTTCGAATTCCCGAAGATGTAGGTTTTAAACATTTTATTGTGATCAAAACTGAACCTGAATAATCAGGAGTATCATGGAAGTATCATGAGAATTCTAACTTGTAAACTACTCTTGTGCATTGGTAATGTTATTGTTTTGAACTTTCATTAAATATATTAATATATTTATACTTGTCATAATTTTTAATTGTTCCCATTCCCTATGTGCAAATTTGCTTCTTGTTGCATAACAATTTAACTCTTGGTAGTATGCTATGTGATATATAGTATGAAAGGCCTTACAGGTCATAAATAAGGAAATAAAGAAACTTGTAATCATGGAGGTTTTATTGAATTTGTGTTTGTATTTTGAAGGGCTGGAGTATGAGTAGAAAGCTGTGAACCTTTTTAAGGGAGAGCAGTTCACTCCAGGTGAGAAACATTGGTTGTTGACTCTTTTGGTTGGTTTGTCATATGCTCAAAGCAGATATGTTCTTCTTGGATTCATGCTTTAGTATTAGAAAGACGTTATCTTAGAATTTCTGGCATCTGAATCCATATACATATATCTTTTTTAATCATGTTAGGGAAGGTGATATTAGTGCTCATTTCAAATTTATATAAGGATTTTGTACTTCATGTACTGATTTGTTGTGTTGAAATGGTCTGCATATAGAGTTTGAGACGTTGAACCCACTCAAATATGTTCCGGTATTGGAAGATGGAGATGTAGTAATTGCTGATTCGTTTGTGATCCTTTGGGTAAGAAATATCAGATGTTTGTTCTAACATTGCTATATTCCAGATTTGTATGGCAGTTGTTTGGTTAGATATCTTAATATATTTGTGATCCTCTTCCACATACATAGCAAACATACCAGGCTAAACAACTGATATATCAAATTAGATGTTTGTGATATATCTAACAAATCAAAAACTTCATGTACTGATTTGTTTGCTATATCAGTTGTTTGCTAAACAACTGATCACAAACAAAACAAACAATTTTGATATATCAGTTGTTTACTATGTTTGTGATCTTCATCCTCTTCCACATACCAGGCTAAACAAACTTCATGTACTGATTTGTTTGCTATGTTTGTGATCCCCTTCCACATACAAGGCTAAACAAACATCTAAACAAAACTAAACAAATTTGATATTTCTAACTCAAACATCTTATATGGCAGTTGTTTGCTATATTTGTTCTAACATTTGCTATATTCCAGATTTCTAACCAAACAAATCTAATATTTCTAACATTGCTAAATTCCATACTTTGGCTAATGTTAGAACAAATATGTTCCGGTATTGGAAGATGGAGATTTGGTAGTTGCTTATTCGTTTGTGATCCTTTTGGTTAGATATATCAGATGTTTGTTCTAACATTGCTATATTCCATATTCACATTGGCTTTTGTATTATTGCTGCTATTGCTCCTCTGCTTGTCTTTCATGGGAAGTCACAGTTGGCTTATTTGGAGTGTTTCATGGTAAGAACTTTTGTCCTCAGAACAATGGTGGTATATGTTTTTATTTTCTTATTGCAGAACTTTTAAACTTTTAGATTTTGCATTACAAATTGTGTAAAATTTGTACGAATGTTCAAATAAAACAAGTTTTGCATCTGAGACGACTCATAACTAAGATGCTGGGTAAACTTCCTCAACTGCAATCCTTTTTTTTTGATAAATTGTTAGTAGCAAATATTGGGGACTCGAGAGTCATTTTGTGTAAGGGAGGAAAGGGTAAGTCCTCCTATAGTTGATCATTTTGGGTATTGGTATCTATTTATCTTTCAAGTGTTCAAATGATTTAAGGATTCATATATGCTTTAAATGATTGAGAAGTGTACATTTCCTCTAGAACTCATACTCTTACTCGATCGATTGAGAAGTGTACATTTCCTCTAGAACTCAGACTCTTACTCGATCTATTGTACATTGGGTGTGAACCAAAAGTACCTGAATGAACTCTATTAGAGTCAGTAGTATAATAAACTAACCAAAAGTACCTAATGATCAATTATGTTTTGTAATATAATAATTACTCCAAAGATGTACCTAGAATGGGCCTGGAGATCATCATCTGGGTACAAAAGGAGGTAGCCTGAACAAGAAGAGTCAAAGAATAGGTATTAAATTGTAAAGGCCAGCACAATTCAGGTCTTCACCGATACTGCGGTGCTTTAATGGGTCTGTTCATGTGCAGCATATAAGGAGTTGGTTGTTTCGGTTCTTACTTTATAAATACGTTTAAATTTAAGATTCTTTCTCCCTGATGATATAACTGAACCGAGGACCTATTTGCATAGTGGCTTTGCCATCTCTGTGTTCATGACCTTTTGTTAATGTTAAAAGGTTTTTGAGTCTTAACTTGGACCATCATTTTCATGATTCTACTTGAAGAATGAGATTTCTCATATAAATAACAGCATCGGTTTACGATAATACTGAAGTGTTTCTTAACTTGATCTGATCATTCAAATTTCTAAAGATGTTTGTTGCCATTGTGTTTTAAGCATGAATAAACTTCTGCCCTTTTTTCAATTTAACCCTTTATTATTGATTTCTATAGGTGGTTGAAATAAGCAAGGGGAGCAGTCCGTAGACTTGACTGCTGTAGGTGTGTTGTGGTCTCAAATATCAAATTACCATGTCGACATGCATATGCATCTGATCTCTTTTCCTGAATCCTCACATGCATGTGTTTAGGTTTCGTCCCGCAAGAAGTAGCAAAGAGCAGATTACATCTTGCACGTTAGCACATTATCATATAATACTGCTTCTAACAGATGTTTAAATCTCCTTGCTGTAAGCAACTTGTTTATGACCATGTGGGAAAATTAAAAATAACAAATAGTAGTTTCTGTGTGATCAATAAGACAATAACTTGCTTGATGAAAAACACAAGAATATTCCCTCTAACAAGCAATTTTTTTTCATTTTGGGGACTTCTTACTTTGTTTGTGAAAGTTTCTATGATGTAAGCCAATGAGCTTTCAAAAAAACAAGAAGAAAAGATAAACAAATGTAGCTACTGTAAGTTCACACGGTTTAAAGTTATAGAATTCAGTTAAATAGAAATAACATTATTAAGAGTTGTGATAAGTATTCACCGTCTGAAATTGTTTTCTTATAGTCAAGTTGATCTGCTGCAAGTTTCATATATTGTTAAATTTACAATTTAGTGTAATTCTATTTGTTCAACAATATAATTTATTTTTTATATGCTTTTGGTTCTAATCATGCATAAACTTTTCTTTGTTTGCAGATGATGATGAAGATTAGCATTTATCCTGAGTTCTTTTGTTGCATTTCCTGCCCAGCTTCATTGCTTCATCCGTGTAAAGTTGCTTTCCTCTGCAGGGGTGTTGAAATTCCACCAGGGTTGTCATCATTTGTGTGTAGGCGAGTGTATGACATTGCAAACAAGTGTTTATGGTGGTTAACATACAAGTATTATATCAACGTGAGTTTTTTTTAATTTTTTTTGAGTGGTTGCAGTAGCTGTTGCTTTATTAAGATTATATTCACAAAACACAATTTTTTCTTGTCTATCCTTTAATGTCTCCGGAGCAACATGAAGAAGTAGATCATTTATTGGACAAGACCCGACTAGAAATGCATGCAGTAGTGCAACCAGGAGATTATTCTCCAAAACCATTTAATGGTCCAACATCAACTCAGAAGTTAAAATCAGATACTGAGAGTCGGCAGAATAGTAGCATTTCCTTCCCTGCACAGGTTAAGGAAAAGAAGAGGAAGAGAGGGGTGATCAGGGAACAAAACCTATTAAGCGAGAAGGTCATACTAAGCTGGAGGATAGTGAATCTGCCAGTTCTAGACTAAACAATATGGCAAAATCTGAGATTGTAAAAATAGCAGAAAAAGGGTCGCTAATAACAACAGAAGGTGTTGACAAGCTGATGCATCTTATGCAACTAGATAAAAATGAGAGAAAATTTTATTTGTCTGATAGGATATTGTTTGCATATGTTGGATGATTGTGAAAAAATATGCTTCCAGACGTTGCATTGGACAAATTTTTCCCCTGTTTTTGGCCTTGCTGGAAATGTTCAATACAATCCATAGAAAAGTTCTAATTTAGTTCATATATAGTAATTTCAAATATGAGATTGACATTCTATTGCAATAGCAAGAAGGAAGTCTATTCTGCAAGTAACTTTGCAAGATATTATCAAATGATATATTAATGCAAACTTACAATAAAAGTGCAATGAGATGCAAATATATTTTGTCAGTTGTTTTAATTGGGTATTCTATGTTTTATGTAGCCATAATTTACTCTCATGTCAATAACATTTTAGCTCTTAATATTGACAAATGTGCAGTAAAAATACTGATTACTTAAAAAGGGTCTAGATCCTATATCATAACTTAGTTTTTAAACTATCTTGATGTTAAATATCCATGACAATCTATCAACCAATTCATGTTAACAATTATTATGTAATAAATATTGCAATGAGTAATAAAATTGATGTATTCACGATACTTATAGATGCAACCAGTGTATTATCGCCCAATCAATCAATAAATGTAATTTAATTGTTCAAATGTTGAATGTTTAGATTATATCTATATGTTTTATCCATTACTTACATTACATAATTTTATAACAAAACATTATAAATAAAATTATAAATTTTAAACAAAAAATGAAAAATTTACCACGTGCATTGCACGTGCAATCCAACTTGTTAGCTTAAAGGACTGACTTGAGCGATTGTGGTTCAACCTCCAGCGGCCTCCTTTTTGGGAGGAGTGGCGGTGGCGTAAGAGCATGACATAAATGTACAAAATATTAATTGTTAAAACAAATCTATGTTATTAAAACATGAAGCTAGCTAATAAAAGATGTAGAAGAACACTTTCTAACGTGAACCTACTTTCACATGCTTGTAAGCTTAGTAATATAAATAAAGTTTATAGGCTGAATTGATCGTTTGTCTGAGAAGAAATTTTCTAGATAAACCCAATCCTAATTTTATTCTTAAATTTCAATCTTATTCATACTTTATTACAAAAATCGATTCACTTTCTCGCTACGTCAACATCGTGGTCAGAAAGTAGGTCAATTTTTTTAAAACGCGATTCTATTTAGTCGGGGTTGACAACCCCCGACTATTTTGAACGTCGTCGACGATTAGGCAACATAATTAGTCGGGGTTCAAAACCTTAGCACCTTTTAAATTGGTCGGTGTTGGAAACCCCGACCATTTTGAAATGCCTAATTCTGTTTTACTTAGCCTCAGAGCAGATGGAGATGCGGTTACGAGTACCGATGACTTCAACTGGGTAGGAAAGTGTGAACAATTGTTGGGTCAAGCTCATACTATGAAGGGTGGTAAGATCAAGATCGAATGGTTAAGAAATAATTATATGAATGTACCAATCAATGCGACCGATGAGATCATCAAAAGCTATGCTCGTGCATATACTCCTCATATGATCGGTACTATTTTATTTCCGGATTCCACTAAGGATTTGGTGCATGTAAGATGGTTGTCACTTCTTGAGGATCTTGAGGAGTGTGGAGAGTTATCATGGGGAAGTGTAGTGTTAGCTTATCTGTATAGGGAGATGACCAAAGTGGCACTCGTGTAAAACAAAGAATTCAATGGTTGTCTCACTTTACTGCAGATATGGTCATGGGTGTGATTGCATTTGGGATGCCTAGATTTGAGGGAGACATGTACTCTCGATGGCCAGATTCTGTTAGGATGTAGGTATTTCTAAGTTATTTTATAATAGATATGATTACATATAATTTTATACATTTATTTCAATCTATACTTATCTGTTGTATATAAAGAAGATGAAATATGTTCAGATCTTGTAAAACCTCCCCAAAGGGTCATGAAAACTTCTATAGGAATGAGCTTGATCAAATGGAGGATGAACAGGTGTAGGCGTCAAAAATTACATATGGGTTCCCGTACGTAACTCGAGATGAAGAGAAGATAAATATTATTATCCAAGTCAAGGAGTATTATCTAACGTTGACAAGCGAATGAAGTGAGTCAACGAAATGTACGAACCAACAGGATGACAGAATGACGAAGAAACGATCCGATCGGGAATTATGTTTCACTCACGAAAGACGAAGAGTCACTCGTGTATTGTCTACTCCACATATGATTCACTTATGGGAGGTTGTGGATCTCATCTTCAGCTTTCCGAAGCAATTTGAATCACTTCGTTCTGAGGTCGAACGAGGGAGTTAGAGCCAAAATATCCGAAACAGTCCAGACTGTTTCGCACCTGCGAGACACCAATTATGTCTCGCACATTTTAGCTATGATACAATTTGAATCTAAAGAATCTCAAAAGACAAAAGTTATAGGTATCTTTTTCATCTTTCCAACTCATTTTTAATCATCTCATTCCAAGGTCAGACGAAAAAGTTAAGACATAAATACCTGAGACAGTCCAAGCTGTCTCGGACATGTGCGAGACCCTCGAAGTGACTCGCGACCAGGTCAGCTCCCAACTTTTTTTCTGATAAGATTGGTTTCTAGAACTCCTTGGGGTCATCCATAAATATGTGGGGTAATACTTAAACATGTGAAAGCTATTACACAACCGAAAACCCACCTAAACGGATAATAATGGTTGTTCTTCGATCCTATCCACAAACACAGCATTCATATCCGCAAACACGGCATTTAAAGCTTATAAATACACTCCTAGCATCCTCATAAAGGCAGATCTGAAGGGAGCTATGAATTTTAGAGGAGCTAGGGTGAGGTTCTGATGAATTTGAGAGAAGCTAGCAGATTTTGGTGAACTCCGGCATAAAGAAGGAGAGTTCGAGAGATATGAAGCACCGTCCCCCCATTCCTTCAGATTAGGCTTGGTCTTAATCTCGAGAAGAGTACTGATTTTGCTTGGTCGATATTAGTACTTTAACGAATACTTCCTTGGTGAAGTAGGAGCTCTGATTATTTATTCTATCAACCAGATCCGATCCGTAGGCTGTTCACGGATATCAACGTCCCCGGCACAGGCAAAGATCCTACACAAACAGAGACTAATAAATAGGATTTTTGTGTTCTTTGAAGGAATTGTAATCTTTATATTTTCATTGTGTAAGAAGATCTTATAAAAAATTAACTTTTTATTTATTTAAGTTTATTGAAACGACTGAAGTTGTAATAGATTAAAGACGATGAAAATAGCAATTTCTAAACCAAACACATTGGCGACCATAGTGGGAGCAAACAGCTTCTCTGCATAGGCTGTCGTGTTGCAACATCTGATCCGGATCACAGTTGAAGAAGAGGTCGAGTACGAGTTCGACCAACAGAAGTTCAAGGAGTAGTTGTCCTCCTCCTCCTCCAGATCCTCCTCCACTCGCAAGCACAAGATGATCAACACCCCTATTGCTGCGGTAGCTGCACCTTGCAACGCCCCTCCGGTCTCTAACGAGGTCAGATCTGCAGATTTGGACTCCTTCTCAATCAACAAGTTAAGTACTAAAGACGCACTAATCCTATCGAAGAGGGCACGTTAAAGGTAACGTCAACGCCTCGCGCGGAAACTCGTTAAGGCTTTGGAGCCAGTGAACGGGATCTGTTACAGGACGGATGTGAAATTCAGGAAACACTAAGCGCCCCAACAGCGAGCAAATGGCCCCTCCTCCAAACCAGCAACAAACGAATGGATCCAAGTCAAAAGGACTCGTTCAACTGTTGAGGAGCTCATCCAAAATCGCCGCACACTCCTTGCGCATGTGTGAATTCTTGTGCAGAAGGCCCAAGAGTTACAGAAACAAGAGGTGGCCAAGAAACCAGCAAAACTACGTCGAGTCTGGAGTCTGAAGCTCAAAACAGCATTCAAAACACCGAAAGAACAAGAGTCATGCCCAGGTGACCCGGCTAGCCGTGGGTCACCAAGAAGTGACCCGACCAGCCATGGGTCACCACGAGCATGTGGTGACCCGGCCAGCCACGGGTCACCACAAGGTGACCCGAGCACTCGCGGGTTACCACGAGGTGACCCGGCCGATGGCGGGTCACCCTAAGCTGATCCGTGCCTGGGTCGAGCCAGGAGGTGTCCTGCGCCTATTTTTCAAACTTCGATGAATTTCGTTGAGGTCCCGCGCTCACGAAGGCATAGATCAAAACATGCGACTCTTGAGAGCGCTAACAAGACGTCGAATCCCAGAAGGAAATGTTTTCGTCTGATGGCGATGACATTATGCCTAGGAAGTCGTGCCAACACATGATAGGTTGCTCTGGCAATCATGCCAATGAGTTATACTATCAGGCTGGGGGTACGAACATATCTCAAAAGAGAAGTACCTGGGAAGCGGACTATCATTGTTCGTGTACTAAAATTATTACGGTAGTATTATCAGTATGTAGCTGCCCCAAGACTGCTCCACAGAGAGTCTCAATATTCAAGAGAATCTACACTGAAGCGTCGAAGCCTAAATCAAGGTGTTTTCACAAAAGAAGATCGGTCGTTCGAGACGACGAACTCCCGGAAGTTACTATCAACATGGTCAATAAGGAAAAGTCTCTGATTGTTTAAAGTGGTTCTTGCCCCGACTTTTCTCCAGGACAGGTGGCGATTCAAACATGGACGAACATCTTGATGTAGATAACCCTCCCATTGACCAAAACGCTGGGGGTGGTCCTACTAAAAATAACAATGCTGGATGTGGTCCCACCGATGATAATCATATCGGGGGTCGTCGTGATGTTCCTTCTTAAAATCGACCAAGGAAGTATATGAGTGAGGATGAGAAGATGAAGGACCTCAAGGGCAAAATAAATGCCTTGATGTCCATTCAGAAGGTGAAAAAGATCAGCATTCCATGTCCCTATCCAAGAGAGTGGGAGTCGATCCCGTATCTTGATAAATATAGTTAAATGGGGGTATGAGTATGATACCATGTGTTTTGAGTATAAACAAGTTCATTCGTGAGGAAGAGAAGAGTCGAAACATGCATAACGGCCAAAATCGTGAGAACTAGAATTTCCCAGTCTGGTAGACCGTAGCCGATCGACCGCTACTGCCAGACCTGTAGAATGTTTTTCTCCTGTTTTGAGTTGGTTTTGGATTTCTAAAGCC